AATGCTGTTTCTCTTGTCAGGATTAAGGACATATGTGGGTTTGGCTCTGGATGTCTCGGACATATATCTCATGCTTGATGGACATTGGCTACTTTATCCCCTGGCTTTCCCCAGGAAGTTTACTAACTCGTCAGGAACCTAATCCCCAAGAGAGATCTGCGAAGGTTCGAGCAGTCTTCCCTGGCTGGTGGCTCAGCGACCAGTGCACCTCCGCCGGCGTTGGCCTTTCCCAGTGTCAGTGCTGAAACGCTAACGCTGCCCCCTGCACAGCCAGACCCCACTTAGCGGTGCCAGTCTGGGGCACTTGGCTGTTGGCATTCCAGGGTCTGCCCAGAGGCAGCTACTTTTTGGAAAGGTCCCTTTGGAAGGTTCCATTTCTGATCCTTTGTTGTGGGGAGCAGTCTGGCCTCAGCCCGAACACTTTCTTGTTGGGTGTGAAATGAACTGTCATGGTCATGGGCTCTGTCTATGGGCTTGGAGAGCAGAGCATGAGGAGCAGCATTTTTAATGCTAGGAATCTGGGGGCTGGGGAGATGGCTCAGTAGAATAAGCGCTTTCCCAGCAAGCACAAGGGCCTGAGTTCAATCCCCAGTTCCGAGAAAAAAAAAAAAAATCATTCTTATAAGTGAGGTAGGATCCAGCTTCATCCAGTTTTCCCAGCATCACTTGCTGGAAGGACTACTCTTTCCTCACTAATTTTTTTTGGGTACCTTTGTCAAAACCCAGCTGACAGGGGACCATCCATTTAGGGTTTCCTTCTTGTCCCTCTCTCAGACAGGAGCTGTCTTTCCTCCAATAAACATATTCTGCTCATAACAAAAAACCCAGCTGATTGTAGATGTGACTGTTTATTCTGAACTCTCACGCTCTTCCACTGATCTCTTTGTCTGTCTTTACCCCACCTTTGCCCACTGCAGCTTGTGATACATTTTGAAATCAATCACCCACTTGCTCTTTCATTTCTTTCTTTTTGTGATGCTGGGATTTGAACTTGGGGCCTTGTGCATGCTAGGCAAGCATTCTACCACTGAGCACATCCCCGGCCCCACAGCCCCACACACTTACTCTTGAGCCTACTAGTTTGCTTTCTACCCTCACCAGTTTTCTGAAGTTGCTCTTGCTTGATCTATTGTTGGGAACCACAAACTCACAATGGCTAGTCTTACGTCCTTCCCTAAGAGATGGATGGCAGCTAGGGATTTTGGTATCCTCTCTTTGAGATTTCCCATTGTCCCAATAGGTGGAGTCATCCTCTCCCACCTACTAAGATTAAAGATGCTCCAGGGCAAAAGCCTCAGTTTAAGATCATCCTAGCCTTCTGAAACATCTAATAATCCCCTTCTCAATCAATAAATGCCAGTAGATTAAAACTTTCCATATAGCTCCTGTTTTCATAATTATGACAGATCTAAAAAACCTCTCACAAGAAAAATATCTCA